GTTTTGGTTTGAGTGTTTTCGTTTGTAACTACTTCTCTGAGTTTCTTCTCTTTAATGTTGATCATTCTATCTATTATTTGGTTCTTTAGTTTTCCTGTTTCGATAGCTTGGTTCTCTCTTTTTTTGATAACCAACTCATATGTTTCAGTGATTCTTTTAAGTACTTCGTAGTATTTCCATTCTTGTCCAAGACATTCTTGATTCTTCTTTCTTTGGGTATCAATCTCTGTGATGAGATTGTCATACTCTTCGATAAACTCTTTCTCATTTTCTGGAATCTTAATGGGATGATTCTTTTCATACTCAGTCCTTTCTCTTTCTTGGTCTTCAATCTTTTGCATTCCACTAAGGTTCTTAAAAAGCACAAAAGAACTTATTCCGAGAGTGTTTGAAGAACACGACATTTGTTATTTTTCAGTCCTCATGAGGTTTGTCCTATCATTATTTCTACAGTGTAAGTATTTGAAAAACTCACTGATGAAATATTTGTTATTATAAATGCAAGGATTAAAAACTTAATAAAACTTAATAAGTAAAATTAATTTACTTATTTTTATGAATAATGTTATTCATTGTGACTTCTTCTCCTTTAACAAGATTTCCTTCTTTGTCAACACTCAAAAACTCTAATTTAATTCCTCCTTGTTTAAATCGTGTTGTTCTTAATAACTTCCATGCATCAATAAATTGTCCATCATCTGTTTCACAAACAGACATATTTCCTTGTTTGGTGTGAAGAGTGTTTGATTTCATTCCAACCCGTAAACAGTTAACTGCTGCTGGATTAGGAACAGCCACAACAAATGAAATAAGAAGTAAAGTAATTGCAATCATGACTAAAACATTCTAGTTTTTTGTTCATTTTTTTATTATTTGTTATATATTCCAAATTCTTGTTATTAAAATGTTTTATTAAAAATCTTAAAATTTTTTCATAAGAAAGTTATTAAAACGAATTTCTATTCTTATTCATTGAGATATTTGATTTTAGTATTAATTATTAATGTCTTCATGTTAAGAGATTACAATCAAACAATTGTATAAATACAGAAAATAGTATTATTTATTTTGATTATTCTCTATGATATTTATTTAAATAAGTTACTGAAAGAAATTATATTGTTAAATACTCAATTAAAATATTGCTGAAATTTTATGAAGAGTAAGATTTTTAAAGTCTTATAGTAAATTTATTTGAACACCAATGGTTGTAACATCTCTTCAATATTAAAAGGTATGAAGAATTTAAAGTTTGGTATCAGTATATTTCCATTTGGGTCAAATAACTCGAAATATCCATCTATTGAATTAGAGTTAATTGTTTGATTTGGTTGGACAATTTTTTCTTGCAATCCAAATGTCGTTATTGCATTTTGTAACTGATATGGTAATGTTGCCAAAGATATTACTAATTTGTGACATTTTGAACGATTAAAGTATTCAAGTACATCTTTTAACAACTTTCCATACTTTGCTTTGATATCTGTTATTGTGTAAATTATTCCATTAACATTAATTGTGATAATAAATTCATTACGACTTCTATATGTATTGGTTGTTGGATTTTTTGATTTTTTGGTATTTATTATGATTCCATCTTGGGCACCTCTTATTTTGCACCATTGTGTGAGAGTATTCATAAATAGATCATGAACATCTTTGCTTAGATATCGTTTAACAGCTCCTTTATTTTGAAGTCGATCAGTTAGAGCTATAGTCTGTTCCCGAAATATTTTTTCTGTCCAAAGATGTCCTTCAACTTCAACAGAGACTAATTTCATTTCGTTTCTTTTATCAATAACCTTTTTTCTTATTGGTGGTTTAACAGTAACAATTCCTCCTTTGGAAACGATATAACTGATAATAAATCCCCATAAACTAAATATTTTCTCTTGGTGGTCATACTTCTTTTTTAAATTATTTGAGATTTTATGGTGTTCACCGTTTTGCATTTATCTTTTGTTCTGGTTTTAGTTTTTGTTCAGTGCTTTTTATACAAGGATAATGAGGAACCGAATCTTTCATTAAAAAAAAAAATAAATGATTTTTGCGAATTACGTTTATCTTTTGTGAAATAGTAGTTAAAATAATAATAATATAACAATAATTTCAATTCATAAAATCTAGATTTTATTGTAATAACAATAGTAATTATAAAAAAATTAAGCGTCATTCATTTCTATAATAAAATCAGATTGAAGTATTTGTTAAATCAACTCATTTTCACATAGTTTAAGAACAAAACTTAATTTCTTCTAATATTAAACACACAGCATCATCACAAAGACCTATTTATAATAAGAAATAATAATATAACGTTGCTTGTAATGATAAAAAATTCATCCTCATATTTTCATTGTTTGAAGTATCCCAAAGATGATCTAAAGAACAATAAATCATGGATATTAGAAGAGGTTCTGTGAAACTTAAATCATATACTGTTGTATTTGTAGAAATTAGATTGAAAAGGACAGTGTGTTATTAATACATTGAACTAAACAAGATTTAAGAGAGAAGAAAGTTTAGTTTATTATTAAAAGAATATCTTTCTATCATAAAACAATGTCTTATTCAAATTTAAGTAAGGGTATTGAAGAAGGATTTAATCAGGAACACTCATTTCAACTCAATTTGTTCTCAACTAATATTGTACACAAGAACTTATCATTATTTCTAACCACAATAACTTAGAGAATTAGAGAGTATTAAAACACTGTGCTAAATAATCGTTGTTTTGTTGAGAAAATCATGCCAAATACCTCTAAAATAAAATAACTCATCAAGATCAATTGAAACCCTTCATTCATTATTTAAATGTAATTCTTTTGATATTGACAAACTCTTTTAGTAATAGTGAATTTACTACAAAGACCAAAATAAAGACTTTTCTCAAAACAATTATCATTATTCAAACAGAATAAATACACGAAGTACAATTTAAACAATGGAACATTCATGAAACAATGAAAAATTTTATAGTATTTACAACAATTAAATCTTCTATTAAAGATACAGGTTATTAGCTAATGAATTAAGACTAGTTAGGGTGCATTAGTTAGTGGATGATAAAAGAAAGTATCTCTTTCTTTTTTTTTTTTGAAGATATGAAGTAGAACTTGAGAAACAACATTTAATGATGAAAAGAATAGTTTAAGTGTAATAAGAAATAAACTATTAAATATAGTTACCCAAAAATAAAAGAGATTTATTTTCAAAAAAATAAAGTTTTCAAAGACAAAAAAGGAAAGGAAATTTCCACAAGAATCTACAAATTAGTCATTTTTAACTTGAAATGAGTAATTATGCACAATACGAATATCTTGATATTTCAGTCAGTGACCCTCAACTAAGAAGAGATGACAAAGGAGAATATACTGTTTATAAAGTACATTTTGATGTTTGTTCTTATTTCTTACAATAATTAGGTTCTGAATCATTTAGTTGAGGGTTTTTGTTTTAGTGAATGATGTTAATGGAAGTATTAATTGAGATAGACAACATTTGAAGAATACAAAATAAAAACAAAGGATGTGTATCGTCGTTATTCACAATTTGTTGAACTGAAAAGACAATTAGAGATTCGATTTGAAGAAAAAAAAGACAAAATGGCTAAATTCGGTACAATCCCACCTCTTCCTGGAGATACAATCTTTTCACTTTTTGGTCGTGGAAGATTTGATCCAGCTTTTGTTGATGATAGATGCAAAAAGTTAGATGCATGGATCAAAGCAATCTGTGCACATAACATGCTCCGTTTTGAAAAGGTGTTTATTTCTTTTCTTGAACAAGATAATTGGGAAGTTACTAGTTGGTAATAGAATTCAATAATAATAATTATCTGGTTTTCATCACACATATTTTTTTTATAAACTTTTACACATAATCAAAATGTTAAGGTTTATAAGATTGATTTTTAAAGATATTATGTTCCAATTAATAACAGAATCTTTGTGTTCTAAAATACATTAATTGTATATTATACAAAGAAGATATTTATGTTCAATACAAGAAGGATATTATTTGAATCAAAACCAAAAATAAGAATTATTCTATTGGATGTAGTTATTGTTTTGATTCAAATTCTTGTAGTATAAGTAAAGAAAATAACTTTCTCATGACTAGATGTTCACCATCTACTTCTTGTATTTTTTACTATCACAAATCAATTTGTACT